GCGTGCGCCTCTGAAGTATGAATGAAACTAATCCAATCCTGATTGGTGTTGCGTCGTGACGTAACATGTGACGGCATAACCGGATGCATAAAAGTGACGCTGATACAAACACACACTAGCCTCGCGATGAAGCAAGACGCTCTAAGGCCTCGAGGGGCGTGGCAGGACGACGCAGTGTCTCGTTCCCTTCTCAGGGAACAAGGGTTATAGTCATAACCCGAGACGTTCCCTTTCGAGGGAACTCAAACTGCGTCGTAAGATTGACACTTTGGGGAACGAATGCCCACTAGGCCACGCACCGAAGACAGGCCTGCCCCGGAGTGAAACTGATTCAGGCACTCAGCTAGGACGAGAGCACATGTGTGCCAGGCGTACTAGGGAGGTGCAGACTATAAAACCTGATAAAAGTGTGCGGGGTAGCCCAACCGGCTGCCTCACAGATCTCCTGGAGGGGCACTCCCGAGAAGAGGACGCCATGCCTCTAGTAGAAAGATCCCTTACGGCCAAAGGTGAAGGCAAATTGCGCACCTTGTAGGCCTACTTATGGTTAGTATAGCCGGGAGCCCCTAATAGGTGACCCAAAACACACTACAGTATGTCCGACCTCCTCCAAGAAGAGGACCTCTCAAGGTAAATACTCGGAACTCTAACTGGCAGAGCAAGGAACCTCTCCTTTTCTGCCGACACATGAGGTGGAGGATGAAATACTTGCAGGACCATGGACCTAGCCATGTTAAATTGCACTTAAGGCACATAGCTGGGTCTAGGATGCAGGATGGCCTTAACTCCGCAGGGGGAACACCCCAAGCAAGCTGGCGATAATGCCAGGGCTTGGAGATCCCCCAGTCTCTTTAAAGAAATAGCAAAGAGAAAGGCTATCTTGAACGTGAGGTCCTAGGCGAAGCCGACTGGAGGTATTCGAAGGGAGCCAGGGATAGCCCTTCGAGAACCACCGCCAGGTCCCAGGAAAGAACCCTGGACCTGAATGTCGGTCTCATCCTCCAAATACCATGGAGAAATAGTATGACCAATTGGTGCCTCCCCAAAGGCCTACACTACACTTAGGACCTCTTTCCCGAAATCCTCTTCACCTGAAGGACGGCCCTCAGGTCACCCTTCTGGCTGGAGGACTACGGTTGAGAGCGCTTCCTCTGTTGCCAAGCTCCCGCAGGAGGGGCTCTAGAGGCAACGCTCTCTTTTTGCTCTTGCCGATGGAAGGAGCTGGTTAACGGCTGAGGCTGGATACTTGGACAAGCCCTCCTAGATCCAGATTTAGAGCGGTAAGGAAAGTACTGCTGGAACGCGGCTGACTGTTTTTTCCCTTTCCTGAAAACCTGTCGACGACTGCAGTGACAGCGTCGGAGAACAGGCCAGAAGGTGATAGCGGAGCGTCCAACGGAAAATATTTGCCTTTCTCTTTATACCGGTGTTACGATCCTCTGTATTTGTTTTGTGTGGGTTGTTGGTGTTCTGTGTATGTGTCCAGGAGTGATTGCAGCTGGAGTGCCCTGATTGGTGGATCTACTGATGCACCGCATTTTAAAAGGGCGGCGCTCACTGAAGATGGGGAGCTCATTCTGGCCTCGTGGCGTTAGGAGCTCCGGATTCCTCCTCCCGTCGACAGATCCCAAACCCTTCGACTTTATGATTATGTGTTACTGATGATTTACTTCGACTTTGTTTGTATGATTTAGGAGCGTAGGGGTGTCCTGCCATTTAATTTGACTTCGTTTGCGATTTGTTTATTTATAGGGAGTTAGGGAAGTTACTTTGTAATTTGATTTACTCCCTGATTAGGTAATTTATGTATGTTTGTTTATAAGTTTATTTTATTATTTTGGCCTTGGGGCACCCTGAAGCCATTACTCCTTAATTTAATCATTTATTTCCATTATAAAAATAAATTATATTTTTATTGGAACCTAGTTTTGGGTCTTTGGTGATCTGTCGGCCGGGGCTGGTTTCCTTTTAACATCAATAAACTCCACGTCCAACCGTCCTTATAATACGGGACGTAACAACCGGACAAATTTAGCCACAGATGTCTCTCCGTAGCCAGCATAGTTGACATAGAGCGGCCAAAGGTATTCACGTAACGTCTCCTTAATGGCCCGGAGAGACAATCTGTGGCTCTTCTCAACTCCGTGAAGTCAGCAGGAGTTGGTCCCTCGCCCTCATTTAGATCTTTAAGAAGATCGGCCTGGTACGCTTGCAAAATCGTCATAGACATGAAGGCATGCACCAGCCTGACCAGCCACCATATAAGCCCGGCCAACCAGTGCAGAGGTGTCCCTGCACGGTTTGTTGGGCAGCGCCGGGGCTTTAAGCGAAGATGCCGCATCAAGAGAAAGATAGCTCGCTAAAGCTTCCTCCATCTGCGGCATCTTGCCATAACCCGCCTCTCTCGCGCCCACCACATTCGAATAATCATATAATGAATGTTATGAGATACGTAAAGAGTGGTATTCCTCCCAGGATCTAGCTCTTTATGAAGATCTGGGGAAAAACAGAAAGCCACGGCGCTGCAGAATCTCATGTCTAGCTTGCTTTGACGGGGATCATCCTGCTTATTTTGTGGCCATTTGATATACATAAATATCTTCTTTTTTTTCCTTTTTTTTTGTCTGGCCACATGAGCAGAAACATGAGCCGGCAAATGTGACTCATGTTGCTCGTTCCCGATGCTGAGCACATCTACTTCCTTAAAAACAGATAGCTCGAGCACCGGGCACTCGTCACGGGCAGAAGAAGCCGCATCACTGGCTTCTGCATCGTGAACGAGTGTCATAGAATCTGCGGATGATGAACGAAAAAGTGCCTCAGCAGTCTCGTTCTCATCCGCGAGATCCTTCTGCGATACCCACGATCTAAGCCGCCGCGCCGCCTCAACGGACGCGGGACCCGAATCGCGGGGATCGCGAGCCTGACCATCATCAGAAAATAATATAGCCAAGTGGGAGCGCAGCACTCTAATAGGAAGTGCTTCACAGTGTTCACAGGCAGCCCTCTCGAGAGCTGCCTGTGTGTGCTGCGCCCCTAAACAATACACACACACAACTGATGCGTGTCCCCACCCGTGAGATATATAGGGCAGGGGTGCACACACGTAGTGTATTGTTCACTCGCCATAATATAGAGTTTTGCACAGACAAACAACACCAAATAAGACAGACAGTTTCACAGAGAGCGCTTGCTGAAGAGCGAAAGCTAGTGTGTGTTGTGACAGTGTCACTTTTATACTTCCGGGTATGCCGTCACATGTTACGTCACGACGCAACACCAATCAGGATTGGATTAGTTTCATTCATACTTCAGAGGCGCACGCTAAGGGAGCGTCCCCAAAGTGTCGATCTTACGACGCAGTTCGAGTTCCCTCGAAAGGGAACTAAGAGATAAAGCATAAATATATGGCATGTAAAATTTCTTACTTGGCTTGTTACAAACACAGTCGCGTAACACAAATAAATGACAAGTAAATAAAAATATACCTCATTGGCCGCATGAACCCGAGAGGGTAAACTTAGGTGTATTCATCTTCACGCTTCACCGTCAAAACTTATGGATAACTTTACAATCTTCTGGGGCTTTCAGACAACAGGCTCGTGAGCCGCAGCACATATCTCTCTGATCTTAGCGCGTGCACCATACAGCGCGTCCTCATAGCAACAAACTATAATTTCCACACGGAACAAAAAATAAGTTCCCTTATTATTTCACGAAGTTTTAACAAAAAGATAATAAACATGAAATTATTATTAATTGGCCATAAGACATTATTTATTTCAATCATATGATTTTTAACCTCTAATATATTTATATTTTAACTGTGAACCATATTGAACTGAAATATATGTGTTGCCTTTGATGGCAGCTACACTCCATTCTTACAGATCATTAACTAAAAAAGTTGTTTTAGTGATTAGTTTCCCTTTAATTAAGATCGTCATTTAAGTGATTTTTTCTTTAAAAAATAATTTTTCATGAGCCAATTTATGGCCTAGATAAGTAATTGTGCAGTAAATAGGTAAACAACTTCCAAATTTCCACAAAATCACAGCATAAATGTATAGCTGAGAAGTAAATAAAAAAAAAATTATATATAATTTTCCATATAAAAAAAATGACATTTCCTTATGCAATCGGTCTTTTAAAGTTTGGGACCCCAAACACCAAAAACGTTATCCATTTTGAACACCGATTAAGGGTTAACAGAAATGCCCATTTCTCGTGTGGATACAGTTCATATACTTTACATTTATCACTACATCAAGTGTCAATAACTAGAATCTGACTCAGATTAGTGGAACATTATTAAAGTGTAGAATCACACTAACTCAACGTTTACTGGCAGATTCAATCACAAACATCAGTGTCTTTTTTTAAATTTTTTATTATTAGTATAGTATTTTGTTTAATGTGCTTTCTGTTTATATGCTCAATGTTTTATTGTACAGCACTTTGGTGCAACTCTGTGTGACGATCGGCAGCTGTAGTGCCCTCGAGAGCCACTGGAGGGCACTCTCTCTTTATGTTATGTTTTATTATGGACTCATTATATTTAATTATGTTCAGGTGTGTTTGATTAAGCTGATTAAGTTTTCCTGTCTTAAGCCCGTGTTTTCCCTGTGTTCAGTGCGAAGTATTGTATAGCGTAAGCGTACCATTCCGAGCATTATTCTCTTAGTTCTTTGTATTTCGTGTTTCCCTGGATTCTTGACCTTAGCCTGTTATCTGGACTCTGTTTATGAACCTGTGCTGCCGGCCTCGACTTTTGCCTGTTTGACTTCGATTCTGGTGTTCCCTTTCAATAAAGTTCTGCACATGGATCCGACCGCTTCTGTCCGTACGTGACACTCTGTTGCTTTTAAATGTGCTATGGAAATACATTTCTACTTGGCTTGACTTGGAATGAAACTGCAAATAAAGACGTAGCGATTTTGTTTTCAGTAGAAAAAGTTGCTTTAAGATTTTTTCTTTATTTAGCCCTGACTGCATAATCATAATGGGCCAGTTGTTCAAAGGTAAGCTGATCGGATTTTGGTTATCGGATTGGATTAAATCTTGAAAATGGGTTGTTCAAAAGGGAAAGAAGGAATCTGAAATCAGATTAGATCAGGGAATCCAATCCTAGTTTTAATCTGGATCAAACCTTCAGTTTGTGTTGTTCAAAACTTGTCAGTGGGATTTGGATAACTTTGATCCAAAAAACAGGATTATCCTGATCCCAACAGGGGGTAGGATTTCAAGGTGGATTTCAGGAAGAAAATGTAGTAAAACTTTAAAATTGGTCAAATAATACATTTGTATCATTTAGTGCAGTGTTTCTCAACCAGGGGGTCGCGACCCACTAGTGGGTCGTTGTTCGTTCTATAGGGGGTCGCGAGACTTTCTCTGTGTTAACCGGCACAGCCAATAAGTGGGCTTCACAAAAGGCTCATTGCAACAGGCTACGTTACATGCAACCAAATCCAAATAATCCGTTAGTAAACGCATTGACGGTTCAATCGGACTGAAAAGCCTTCATGTAAACACCTTAATCGATCCGATTGAGCTCGATCCGAATAAAATTTCAATTCGATTGAAAGGGGTGGTTTATTCCTTTTCTAATCCAACTGGGAGGACATAAACGCTTGATCGGATTGAAAACCGAAACTAAAGGACTGCGCATAGAATAATGATGTATGACGCGCTGAACGAGCTGTTCTTCCTTTTGAGTAAAGTGTCGTATAAATGAGCGTACCATCATTCTAACATTCTCCTTTCACTCAGCGTCTGTGAAGTGGAGCATCTGTGAAGTGGAGCAGGACAACATCCCACCAGTCCTTGTTTCAGACTCTCATTCACAGACGACTGGTTTTGGGTGCTGGGCATTTTTACTGCGTGATAAATAAGCAGCACGGCACAACGGTTCATATGCTCATTGTCTCCAAATTACATATTATATGACAATAACAACTTAGCATGAACAGACAGAATTCGACCTTTCTCTATCTCATCGCTTGATTCAAAAGTTATATCAATTCTCTTCGAAAACAAGATAGCAACACCACCCATCGTATTAGTGCCATGACTTAGGAAAATATGGCCTGCCCACCACTTTCTCCATTCTATCTCATTAGCTATGTCACTATGTGTCTCTTGTAAGAAAATGATATCCATATCTTTATTTTCAATATATTCTTTCAACACTGCTCTTCTTCCACCATCCCTTCCTCCATTAACATTAATTGTTCCTATCTTAAAACTTCCCATCAGAAGAAAAGAAAGATCAAGAAAGAAAAAAAGAAGGGTTAGCAAAGAAAAAAACAGAGAAAACACCCCAAGTGTTTTAATCATTAAGGAGTAGTTATACCTTTTTCAAGGGCCATTTTTCTTCTCAATTTAGTTACAATTTTTTCAATCTAAATCGTTTCCTTCTACTCAGTTCCTCATAAGTGGCGGTCTGTTGAATTTTCAAAACTGATTGCAAAAAAATTTTTGCATCAGGAAAAAATTCACTCACCTCTATTGTTTTCCCGAATGTCGCATCCAGGAAATCATTGACCTCATTAACAGTATACAATTGATCCTCACTAATTTGAGAAAGAATATCCGATGTCTCTGAAAACCTGTCATCATCTGTGTCATCTTGTTCCTCTGCATCAGCCAACTGGGACAAACAAATCTGGTCAGTATTTTGTGGATCATTTGTGACACCCTTTGATAACTTAGAACGAAAACTCTCTTCGTCTTCATTTTCGCCATTATTACCATGTAACGTTACACATGGATTATCTCTCTTTTCAGCACGAACCAAACTACCAGTTGAATTTCTGTTTTGATTGCTCATCCCTTCACCTGCATTTCCATCTTTGTTTTTTCCATCAACTGTTGTTTTATTTGGCTCATCACTGAGCTCTACACTAGAGTTAACTTCAACGTTATTTTCTGGCTGCGCTTTGTTATGTGGACACGCGATCTTTTTATGTCCAACGTCTCCACATTCGAAGCATTTCAAATTCCCAGTACTCGCGTAAATCATATACGATTTACCCTCGTGTTTAATTCGGAAAGAAATATCAAGTGCTTGTTGATCAAGAAACATAAACACCTGACGCCGAAACGACAGCACATGTTTCAGTGCTTCATTCTTACACCTCAACGGGATCATTTTCACTTCACTGGCCATTTTTCCAAACCTCACCAACTCTTTTTCAATGTCACTATTTAAAATAAAAGGAGGCGCATTGGAAATTGTGACTCTAACAGACTGAGACACAAGCGGTGACACAACAGTAAACGCTCCATTTACCCAAACGCCAGATTCAACTAGTTTACTCACCAAACTTTCCTCTTTAAGGAAAATCACCACTGCTCTGTTCATCCTTGACGCTGAAATTATGTTCCCATATCCAATTTGTTCACCCACAGCGACAAGCACGTCTTCTACATTCGAATCCGCGTCGGGTACACACCTGACTCCATGGCGGAGCGAGACCGAGGATACACCCCCACTCGGGTGAACCTCCATCTCGGACCTCCGCCACGAGGTCTACACTCCCGAAAAGAGAGAGAGAGAGAGAGAGAGAGAGAGAGAGAGAGAGAGGGAGAGAGAGAGAGGGAGAGAGAGAGAGAGAGAGAGAGAGAGAGAGAGAGAGAGAGAGAGAGAGAGAGAGAGAGAGAGAGAGAGAGAGAGAGAGGAGAGAGAGAGCGAGAGAGAGAGAGGGAGAGAGAGAGAGGGAGAGAGAGAGAGAGAGAGAGAGAGAGAGAGGGAGAGAGAGAGAGGGAGAGAGAGAGAGAGAGAGAGGAGAGAGAGAGAGAGAGAGAGAGAGAGAGATGAGAGCGAGAGAGAGAGAGAGAGAGAGAGAGAGAGAGAGAGCGCCCCGGCCGCGCGCGCACTCTCACGTCTTCAAACAACACGAGCGCTGTCTTGCTCTCTCTCCCTCGCGCATATTAATCAAAATCAATTGACACGATAGTAAAAGGTTGGAAGACCGCAGTTTCACGTGGAGCATTTGGAGATTTTTAGAGATTAGAGACTCTAGGAACAACATCTCAATGAACAACATCTCAACACTAGATTATAAAGGCCTGTCTCATATAGACGCCTGTCTCAAATAGGCCTACAAGCCGTGCAGTTCGACGATTTGGGAAAATAAAAGCCCAGGCTATTATTTAAAGTTTTATGGTATCTTTGTGAGTCGGGATTTTCAACAGTGACTGCAACGAAAACAAAAAGCAGGAATAGGCTGACAACAGTTTGTGTGCGACACTACGAGTCACACTTTTACAAATTCCACCGCGTCTGGCCTGATCAGAGCGGCAGTCTCAAGGCTATCACATTAACGTGAGTAAAAAAATCAGTTTGCCTCATAGTCTGCCTAATTATTGAAAATGTTTGTGTGTTTTCGTGATTATCATTAATTATAATAAGCATATGCCTGCGTTGTAGCCTATAGATCTAAAGAGGCATTTCAGTGATTCAAGATTTATTTAGTGGGTCATTTGACTGGCATACAAAAGAAAAGTGGGTCGCAGTAGGCAAAAGGTTGAGAAACCCTGATTTAGTGTATGTACTTTTATTTATATTTTGCACTTGACTTGTGTAACCGTTGTAACAGTGATAAAGTAGACATGGGCTAACAATTAAGCTATTCAGTATAGTAAAGTAAAAATAAAATAAAAATTATCTTGTCCCCATGAAATAATCCCCCAAACAGATTTCAATAACAAACATAATGAACATAATATATTCATTTTTCGGTCATTCATCACCGTATATTAATTTCAAAGAAACAATCATCAGAGATGAGCCTGTCAAAAATAATGTCTAACAATTGCATCCCTTACTATTCGTCCAGTCAGTCCCTGATTCTGACAGACCACCAGAGGTTGGTCTGGTTCTTCAACAGGCTCAGGTGCATCATAACCATCATCACAGAGAGGGACATTGCGCCTGGTAGCGATGTTGTGCAGGACGATACATGCAAGTATTATGTTGCATGCTCCCTGTGGTTCCACTCGCAAGTAGTTAAGGCATGCAAAGCGTCTCTTCAGAACTCCATTTAAACGCTCAATTGCACATCTTGTTTTGCAATGAGCAGTGTTGAAGCGTGCCTGCGCAGGTGTGGTTGCTGCAAGAAAAGGAGTCATCAGCCATGGTAGGAGTGGATAGGCACTGTCTCCTTATTTTATGCCATCCGGTCGGTTGGTTTGGAGCTCTCTGTATAAAGCACTCTCTCTCAGGATGAGAGACCCAGGCCACTTCACGACACAGTTTGTGATGATGAGGTCAGCATCGCCCACAAGTTGGATGTTGATGCTGCGCCTCCCCTTTCGGTTGATGTACTCCCAATCCCTCTCATGAGGTGCTTGGATATGCACATGAGTGCAGTCAATAACCCCAATAGTATTGGGCATGTTCCCCAAAAGAAAAAACTTGTGCTTGGTCTGGGCAATCTGGACATCCTTTGGAAGTGAAACAAACTGATTGACCAGGCTGGCCAATGCAATTGACACAGCTTTCACTACATCACTCACAGTTGATTTGTCCACTCCCATATTATCACCAACAACTTGGTAGAAAGTCCCAGATGCATAGAAGCGCAGACCAATGAGGACCTGTTCTTCCACAGACAGACTAGGGGTGGGCGCTATACCGGTATGAACGTGAATACCGGTATTATGTTGTGCCATGATATGGATTTTGCGATACCGAGGATACCGTATTCATAAATTCAAATTTTGCAGTTATATTGTTTTGTTCAATTTGGTACTATTTACAACTAACACTAATGACGATACAGAATCGAATACGCTGTTTAAGGAAATTACTGATTTGGCGCTTCATACGCGTGACGTTGCTAAGGCGATTAACCGCTGTCCTGTGACGCGTTCAATGAAGGACCGTAATGTAGAACACATCGCTAGTGCTAAGCGGCTGTTCATAAAGGATGCATCTTTTGCGGTGGAATGGGAAATAACAAGGTAATGAGACGCAAGTTTGACTTTTAACTTGAGCGCAGCATTTTTAGAATGCCGTTTCATTTGCGAGATGCGGGTGCAACACCAAAACAAGTTCGTCAAGCACAAACAAACGTTAAAGTTCTAGGCTACTGTAAGTTTGAGATGTCATGTTTTCATGAAGGTTGAAAGCTGCTATTATTATCTTTGACTTTGTTTTTACACAACATTTACTGCTAATTATATTATCCACGTGGAGACATTTCCCCAATGTAATGTTAGGCTATGAATAACAGGACACGACACACACATAAGCGCGCGCATACACACGACACACACATAAGCGCGCGCATACACACGACACACACATAAGCGCGCATACACACACACTGGTCCACTATCTGTGTGGGGACTCTCCATAGACATAATGGGTTTTATACTGTACAAACTGTTGGCCTTTATTCTGTCTCCTTACACTAATGAATTAGTTTGTATGAAAATGTTCATTGTTTTTTTCTTGTATACTTTTAAGTTCTATTTATTTGGTGCTTTGTTCAATCTCAAACCATTATTTTATTTTCATTATTAAGATGTCTGCACACGAGTTAACTGTAATCTGTGCAAACATTAAACTTAAATGAAACGTCTCGCTTTGGTCTACACTGGAAGTGTTCTGCTCGCTCTGCTAAAGCTAAATAAAATAAAAACTATATAGAAATGTGTTTGCAAAATAAAAACTAACAAAACCATTTATGAAACTAGCTAAAACTAAACTGAAATTTAAAGCAAAATTGAAAACGATATTAAAATAAAAACTAATTTAAAAAAGCAAAACTATAACAACAGATATTCCCGGCGGAGACAGAGCACACCCGAAGACGGCTCTCACTCAGAAATCAATGAAGTCTTCATTCGCTGCCGGTTCTCATTATGACAAGACGAGCAAAAAGTGGAAAGACATAACAAGTGCATTCAGGCCTACCTTATGTTGCACGTTTGCACTTTTTGAGAAAAGAAATTGCACAATAAAAAAAAAAAAACATTTCAGGTCTATGTCCAATGAAATGCCTCACCTTTTTCTAGTTATCTAGTGTTAAAATACATATTTTGCCTGTAATTTAACTAAGGTGTACTAAAATGTGATTCCACTTTTTTTTCTCATATCGCGATATAATATCGATATCGTCCGGACAGTGAAAAATATCGTGATATGAATTTTTGCTCATATCGCCCACCCCTAAGACAGACTGTGACTCCTTCGGGTTCTCCGTTGAAGTTTTGGCCTGACAAGGTGTGCAATGTACTTAATATCAGCATTCCCAAAGCGAAAGCGAGCATACAGTTCTTCAGTGGTGTATTGCTCCAGTGGTTGTGCACGCTCAACATACACCCTTTGACGGTATCCTCTTCCACCAACACGGTGGTAGCGATGGACAATACCTGCCATGTCAGTGCCTCTCTCTAAGTCCTCTGAGAAAGGCTGAATATAAGATGGCTGTCAAATACCCACACACCAATTGGCTGACGTGCTGTGGCTTGTGTTCAATTAAATCAATCATGCCCAAGGCCTATACATACTATGTTCACTACAACAGAAGCGGTGAAACAATGGACTCAAAAGGACCTAATTTCACTGTTGTAGAAACCCATGCACTGCTGGAGGGTGTTAAGTGCCATTATGCCTCAATAGTAGGAAGCTCTGTTGCAGGTGGAATGGTGACTAACAAAAGGAAGGAAGACATTTGGGTTGAAATCACCCAGAATGTAAATGCAATGGGGTCTGGCCAGAAGAGGACCTTGGAGCAAGTGAAATTTAGATGGAAGAATCTGAGGGCCAGAGCAACGAAGGACCTTGCTGAAGCAAAACACACCCAAACAGGCAACAAATCCTTTAAGAAAGGTGATTACACAGATGTGATTCTGGACATTATTGGAGGTGAGAACTCTAAAGCTCTGCATGGGATTCAAGGTGTTGTAGGTGAGCCTGCAATTGTAGAGGAAAGTGAGCCAGTTCCTCCTAATGCAGAGGAAACATTCATTCTGGATCTCAGCCCTATTATTGAAGAACAACCTGGATCCTCACTGGTAGAGCCAGCAGTCACAGGAGCTCAGAAAAGAGGCTTGAAGCGTCCTTTGCCGAATAAAATGATGATTTCTATGAATCACTTCTTAAACAAGAAACTAAAAGAGCAGAAGCACAGATACTCCTGGTAGAGGAACAAATCAAGCTGACCAAACTACAGCAAACCAAAGCGAAACTTCAGATCCACCTCCTAAAAGCGGGGCTTGGAAATGCTGGTCTCTCCTCCTCAGATGAAGAAGAACCCTGAACATTCTTTATTTCGTTAACTATTGGATATTTAGCCATTTCATTTTTTTTAAGACGTTTTCAAAATGTCCACAATGTATTTGTGTAAAGAAGGAGACCTAATCAGACGGCAGTTTGGCGCTGGCTCTGACATACACACACACACACACACACACACACACATTCAAATTTGCCGCTCCTCTGTTACCGCTATGGTCCGGGTGCACACGAGACACATAGCACTTGTTCATTCAAACTCAAAGTACCCATCGTCTTGATACAATAAACTCACATCGCATACACACGCATACATATACGTGCATATAGATTTACCTGCTCATGATGAGTTGATTCTGGGACTGAAAGAGACAGATTAAACGTGATTGTTGGTATCGAGGGCTATTTATAGCGCACTGTCACGTCTCCGCAATAATGGCGTCACCCGGAAAGGAGGATACTATGTGTCATGTGATGTGGGAAATATTTTTGTGTCCATAGTTAATTTATGTCTTGAAAGAATATTACGTGATGTTGGTATGTATTTTATGGGTATATATTTATGTTTAATGTTTATTAGTGCGAGTTTATGTAGTACTTAAGCACTGTGAAATTTCATGTTCCCCCCGGGGTTTTGGTAAATGGTTGGCTCCAATAGGGGAGGAGCCAACAGTATAAAAGAGTGGCTGAATATTCATTCAGGGTCTCTTGGTAGGCTGATGCGTGAGTGTGCAGTTGTGGTGCCACGAACAAATCAATTAATGTTTTGCTGTGTGAAACCGTGTATTGTGGATACGTGTTTACAGTTTTTTTTGTTTATTTTATTTATTTTGTTTAGTTAATATATTTTCGCCAGTGGAAGAGTTGATTATTTTTGTACAGTTTTGGACTCGCTTGTAAATAAGTTTCACCTCTATATAAATAAACCATCATTTTGCACCATAGTGCATTTGCGAGCTGGGCCATCATTTTTTATCTTGGACCATACCACGTCCAGGAAGTGGGCCATCAAAACCCACTTCCCTACAATTTGTTAATGTATGTTTGTTGTTTATTTTGTTGTGGTTCAGATGTGGGTCATAAAATAAATTATGATTAGAAGTGGATGTTTATGTTATTTTTGTGTTTTGTCTCAAAATAAGAAACACTTACAGTGACCCTTATCTTGGCTCTTCTACCTGTTCTTTACATAGCTGGTAGCCCACATTGTGATATGTTGTCCCATTTAGAGCACTGGTAATCCGGATTTGGTAATCTTGAAAACTGTGTATCTGGATCAGGGTGATCCAGTCCAATGTTGCTTTGAAAAACCGGCATAAAGGTAAAACGGATTACCTGATCCTGGATAGGAAAAAATGGGATTTCCAAATCCGGATCATTTTGATCCAGATTAAATGTTTTGAACAACTGGCCCAATGTGA